CTCGGATTGACTGTCGTCACAACCAGAGAGAAACGGTTAACATGAGCGGCTTGAAAGCATAACGCCGAAGGAAGCGTTACAGGTTCATCGTTAATCGATATTTGTTTGTTCAAAAAAAGCTTACCAAAATTATGAGAAAAAAAATATTTGGTTCAGTTTGGTTCGGATATCTCCTATTTCGAATATTTGTTTCATTACAAATATTAACCAAATTTTTAATTTTTTTGGTTAACATTCAGTTAAATCTGTTTGATTTCGAGTTTTTTTAATTTGATTCAATTTTAGCAATCCAGTGGAATGGTTTCGGCCTAAACATTTTATTCGTATTAAAATATTAATTGGGCAGTTGTCGAAAACAAAAAATGAACACAAATCGTCAAATCCTTTTATTCACGCAAAGAAGCAGAGTATTCGACTAAAGGTACTTTCAGTCCAAGTTTGGATTCCATAGTATTCACAATTAATTGAAGGGTTCGTAGTAGGGCCACCCAAACCTCATAATTGTGTCTGTCTACGGGTTTCGGAAACTGAATGCATCTTCTCCTGCAAAACGGTCCATCAACCATGTCACAATCCCATCTCCCCGAGGATGAACAGTAGTAGCACAATGATCCATGTGATCATAAGTCTCCACCTTTCCTTCAAGATCAAATTTACTGATCTCACCCTTTAATACCTTCTTGTCGAGAAGCAGCATGGAGAAGTCATAATCAAGATCAAACTTACTTCTTACATATCTTTTTATATAAATTCTATGACAATTATATATTAATCATAAAAATTCCAACACATAACTTTACCCACCCTAATTTCTCTCAAAATCTATTTTTCTTTTATACTCCCTAGATTTCCCATTAGTTTTTCATAACTCATCGTACTCTTCAGAGGATAATGAAAATATGGAAATGATCAATAATCTCGAACAAGAAGAACATACTATACATCTTGTTATTGTAATAACAACTCAATCATTCTATATTTTCACATTCTAGGAACAAATAATTCTCATACTCATGCAGCAAAATAGATGTTAATCAAAACTAACCTATATTAAATCATGAAGTTTGAAATTTCGAGAAAACAAAAAAATGCACCTTTCACCTTATCTATGTGACAACCGTTAGACTTATCGAGATCTTTCCAGTAATTGTAGCATATTGGATATCTCTCTTTAATCTTTTTTGCTTTATCCCACTTGTAATTAAATAAAGTATCCGACGTGACCCAAATCTGTATTTTTTTGCGGATGCTTGAAAATTTACTTTTCCTAAAATCATCATTTGAAGAAAAAATATTGAAAAAAAAATTATAGATTTACAAAAGAAAAAGATCATTCGTTCAAAACTAGAACCCTAAAACAAAACAAAAAAAGATGCAAGCTCCATCATATTTTGAAAAACCCATAACCCATCATTCCAAATCCATTTTGAATTATATTTAACATACATTCATGAAAAAGAAATCACACTTATAAGCCAAACACCCCCTCCCCACCAAGGGGTGGACCCACGTTGTAGATGGTGGGGGAACTTGCACCCAGCAACATATAAATATGTGAAATTTTAGTACTACACAAAATAATTAGGGTTGGCTGATTTTTCAGCCCTATACTAATTGCAATCTCAACTTGTCAACCCAAACTTTTTGTCTCTGAAAAAACCACCATAAAAAACTTTAATCTCAATAAAACTACACGTACTTTCGGATTTGTTCTTAAAACTACGCCTCCAATTGAACCGATCAGTTAACCGGTAATATCTAATCCGGTTTGATTTACCCAGAATTTTGACCAAAGTTAATCAATTTTGACTCTATTTTAACCCAATTTTGACCCAAAAACAAATATAAAAGAAAACAAATGTCTTCTCTATAAATAAAATTATTATTTTTATTTATTTATTTTTGATAAACAATTAAAAATAATAAATTATAAATTAATTTTACCAAAAAAATAATATACCACAAAATAATATGAAAGTATACCACAAAATAATATGAAAGTATACCACAAAAAATATATATAACAAATTTTTGGTCTATACTTTTGTTTATATAACAAAATATACAACAACAAAAAATATACCAAAATAGATCACAAATTATTTTTTGTGCTATATTTTGTTATAAAATTTTGGTAATATAACAAAATATACATTTTCTTTTTGGCAATCATTTTCTTATAAATTCATTTATCTTTTTTAAAACTCAAACGTTGGTTATATATAACAAAATATACATTTTCTTTTTTGAATTTATAAAAGAAAAATGATTGCCAAAAATAAAATGTATATTTTTAATATCACCACAAATCAAATTCATTTATATATTATAAAATGAATTTGGTATAATATATATATAAAATTCAAACGCATTTTTCTTTTTAAAACCACCATATATATATATAAATATATATATAACTGACCTTTGAATTTATAAAAAAAAAAAACTGAATCTATAAAGAAAAATGAATTTATAAATATCATAATATATACTTTGATTTATGGTGTTTAAGGATATATATATATGAGTTTTGCATATACTTTGAATTTCACAATATACAAAATTCAAAGGTCATATATTATGATTGCCAAAAAAAATTATTATTTTATTTTTTTGTAACATTACCAAAAGTATATACCAAAATTTTATTATATAATTCTTTTGTGGTTTATTTTTTTTTATCTTTTTTGATAAAATTAAGTTATAATTTATTATTTTAATTGTTTATAAAAATAAATAAATAAATAAATTTATTTATAGAGAATACATTTTTTTCTTTTATATTTGTTTTTGGGTCAAAATTGGGTTAAAATAGAGTCAAAATCGATTAATTTTGGTCAAAATTCTGGGTAAGTCAAACCGGATTAAATATTATCGGTTAATTGATCGGTTCAATTGGAGGCGTAGTTTTACGAACAAATCCAAAAGTACGTGTAGTTTTATTGAGATTAAAGTTTTTTTTTGGTGGTTTTTTCAGAGGTAAAAAGTTTGGGGTGGAAAGCTGAGATTGCAACTAGTATAGGGCTGAAAAATCAGCCAACCCAAATAATTAAAGTGGCAAAATAGTATAACCACTTACTCTTTAAGGTTTTAGGTTCGAGTCCACCTTATAACATTTTGCCCCCATTTATTTTTTTGCGCCCAGTTCCTTAATCATTTTGTTTTTTAAAACTTTTCTAGGACGAATTATGATTGTGTTGTTAATCAAAGGGTTTTACCCGTGAAAGTCTATCATACAGACTGTGTTGTACGCCATAGATGTCGGAAGCTTGTTGTGTGAGGCTGCACAGGTTATCAAATTGCTGAAGAAGAAGTATAACATTGATCGTATCAACTCAATGTCCATCATTTCACATCTCTGCTAATGATGTTGTTGAAAGTTGGTGAGTTTAGGAATGCGATTAACTTCTTGGACTCAATGCCTCATAAAGTTACACAAGCGATGATTAATGCGGTGTTCGGATCAGCAACGGAAAAGTTGATGTTTTAGGATTGTGCACATATTAAATAATTAATTATTTTTTTTTTGTAAACTAAAGCAACCATTATTAATTATCTAAATACAATTAAACCAATAATAAAAGAATTTACAGAATATAAAGAGTCAAAAAGAATAAAAAAAATTAATTAATTATGTATTAAAAACTAAAAATATCATATAATTGGGAACAAAAAAATTTCTCTGAAACATCAACTATGAAAAAATGGAAGGAGTATTTGGTAAGAAAAAGAATCATGTACATAATATTTACCGCAAACCCAGCTTCTCTTCATAGGAGTAACGTGGATCAATGCTACGATTGCTGAGTTCGAGCCGGATGGAGCATGGGAGAATACTGCTGAATAGGTTTCAGCAAGGATCAAAGGCAAGTTTACAGCAATAGCACATCCTTTCAAGAAAGAAAAACGATCAAGCAATTGTAAATTTCTAAGTTCATAGAAACTAGTTTGCTCTTTCAACGCTGTTGATGTACGAAATCAATCTAGTAACGAATGAGATCTCAATGGAAGTTAAGTCTATTTGACTTCATCTTCCCCACCGGTGTTCGACTCCACTAAGTCGTGTTACCCCGCGTAGTAGGATTTGGCTATGGATCGGGCATTGTCGATCCAAAGATGTCAAAGAAAAAAAAACTATGTTCAATCTTATCAAATGGAAGTTGCACAATATAATTAGAATAGACTTGGAGAGGTTAACCTCATTAAACCTTATCCTCTCTACATATCTATACTAGTATTTTTGAAGTACATTTTGTATCGGGTGGGTTAAATAATTATCCGAGATTTTTGGTATCCGTTACGATACAAAATTTACTTCAAAATCTTACACCGGATATCCCATATTTTTCGTTGGATCGGATCAAAACATATCTGAAATTGTGAACCGAATATTTCATGTTTAAAAACATATATATTTAGAAGAGTTGGTTAAGATTTAAAATTACGATTCTCTTATCATCTTTGTTTGAACTTTCTTTTAAATATTTTGAATCATCATATAATACATAAAGTTAAAAAATCTCAATTATTTTTTCTGCATATATTGTGATTCAAAATTTTAAAAACATATATATTATCCAATTGATGAAAAGAGATGTGTATTCAACGTCCCATGTTGGCTAAAATATTTAGACAATGATTCAGAATCATATTATAAATAAGATCAAAATGAATTCAAATCCATATGAACATGAAGTTTAACTTAACAAACATCCAAATTTAAAAATTTGAATACCGTTTAATTCGGTTTTTAGTTTAATTGCTTAATTTTACCAGAAATGATAACTTTTAAACTTTTAAAAAGTTTTGAATAATATAATTCATATATTCAAAATCAATAAAAAGTTTATAATATTTTGAACATTTAAACATATATAAAGAGTTATATTTCATAGACTTTGATTTGAATCCCAAATGTCAAAGTCTTCTATACAGATGTCAAACCTTATAATTAGCGAAATATATAGCATAATACAACAACTTGATTAATATAATCAATAAAACCAAACGCATACTTCATTAAACCAAAGGTCAAACCGGTTAATCGCCAATCTGTGAGGCACGCGAGTCACAACCATCCACCCGTGTCTTTAAAGCCAAAGAAGAGGATGAGACCGCATGCTCTGGCTGCGAGCTAGAGCTGACCGGGCAAGCTTTCAAGTGTATAAAGTCAGAGTGCGATTACTTCTTGCACAAGTCATGTTTCGACCTACCTAATGAGACCAATCACAAGTCTCACCAGGACCACCCTCTGACCTTGCTTCATTCCCCACCAGATGATCGGTCTGTTTACACGTGTGACGCGTGTGACCAATACGGATCTGGATTCACTTACCATTTCTCAAACTGCAACTACAATCTTCATGTGGGATGTGCGTTTATCCCTGAAACCGTAGATCGTGAAGATCATGAACATCCACTCACTCTTCTTTATTGCACACCGTGTAAAGGTCGTGAAGACACGATCTTCACTTGCAGCGTTTGTGATGAAACTATTTCAGAAGATCTATGGATGTATTACTGTAAGGAATGTGACTATGGAACACATGTACATTCATGTGCGGCATATGAAGATCAAGAATCAAATGAAGAGGAAGAAGAAGAAGAAGACGAAGAAGGAGAAGCGAGTTCTCCAGCTTCTAGGATAAAGTCTTTGATGAAGGCGCAAGACGAGATGGCGGCTATGCAGCTAGAGGCACGTATTGCGAATGATGCGAGGAATGCTGCGCTTGATCTTTGGGATGAACCAAAACGTAGATACTATTGGTGATCAAGAGAAGGGAGGAGTATATTTATGAAGATGTGTGATTGTTTTTTTCTTTGTGAAATATTGTTTCCAAAATAAAGAAACAATATAGATATATACTCTTTCTTGTAACGGGTTCTTGTTTATTTGTGTGGTTTTATAATAATTTTTTTTTTTTTTTATAAACCCTATCGGGCTGATCCGGTCGGTCTCGGTAGGAACGCACTGAGGTGTTACAGAGTGGACTTCTCCCGATCCAGGTAGAATTGGGCCACCACACTGCCTGATCCGAGTTTGGAATACCTTCCGACTAATGCCAAGGGGGTAGTCAGGCCGCCTGCATTTTTGACTACCAGGTAAACCAATTAGGCCTTGACAGACTTCCCAAACAAATGTGTTTTTGTTTCCAGGGAGAATCGAACTCGGGTCTGGGAGTTTCACCCTTCATCAAAGCTTCCTTTGCCACTAGACCACAAGGACTTGGGCTAATAATTTCTTTGTATGTTGTTTATTTTGCATATGAAGAAGAAAAAAACGTAAGCTGATTTAAAGAATTTTTTCTTATATTTTGTCTATCGTAAGGTTTAGGTGATTAGGTTACATTTCAAATCGAACAAATATATTGGAACCTTTAATTATCTTGAGATGTTGTTTAAACACTTTGACTCTTTTCCGTCGAATGGTAATGTGATTAATCTTTAAGCCTTAAAAGCCTTTATGATCGTGTGAGCGATGCGTTAAGTTTAATAAATATTGAATGGTAATACTTTTTTTTTCAGTTTGTTTTTATTATTGAATGACAAAACATTTTGGAATCAAGTTGACAACTAAATTGGTAAATATAAATATACAATTAATTATAATGATCTATCAGAATTCAATCTCACGAAATTAATACATGGTATGTGAGCAAATGTAAGGTTTAAATTGTGAATTGTAGATCTTTTGTGATTGGAATTTGCTTTCATCCTCGAATAACAAAAAATTAAAATTAATTGGAACACTAATCTACAAATAAATTGGTTTTCTTATATGGTTTTAGACTTTATAAGTAGATGTATAAGAAAGACCCACCACACTTCAGTCCCAGACACGATAACCGAGACATCACTTTTCACAATGATTTCCAACGCCCGTGAAGTTTTAGCTCGATGGAGTCGGGGTATCTTTAGCCTCTCTCGAGCTTTTTGCAATTCAAAACATATTTATATTGTAATTCATACTTATAATTTTAATACCATTTTTATTTTTTATTGAAAATATGGTTTGTCAGGTATAAAAACAGAAAAATCACTTTTCTATTAACTTTTATTCATCAATATTTTTATTGTGTTTTTCTTTTGATAAGTACAAATAGTTTTCCAAAAGAAAAAAAGTGTGTTCTCTACTAAAATTAAAATATAAAAAAGTTTGAAAGATAAAAAGAAGAGAAAGTACTGACTTTGACTTTTGATTTAAATTTTGACTCATGAATATATTAAAATTGTGATTTAAATTTTGTGAACTAAGTTTTGATATTAAACCAGGTCACCGATTTTGACGATTTTTGGCCGGTTTTGACGGGTCAACTCAAATCTGGTTTTTGACTAAACCCGGACTCGGCTATATGGGTGATTCCCTGTTGAACCTATCACGATCAAAACACTACTCAAAACTTAAAATAAAATATTTTAGTTAAATTAATTTATTATTTATTATTTTAGTTTTTTAATAAAAATAATTAAAATTAAAACAATCGAATATTTTTTGGGTAACACGGTCAACATTGGAATTTGATGGTTATGGTATTGGCACCATATCATATGTTAGTTGGTATATATGGGCATGTGATGTACATCATTAAACATTTTTAAAGTTGGGATGTGTGCTGTTGTATTGTGTTATACGTAGTGTATTTAGCAATATTTTTTCTTTAAAAAAAAACTTCTTTAGACTATAATTTAGTCTAAACGTATGTCGTTTATTTGATACTCTGTATTTTTTCTTGTTAAATTGAACATGTATGTTTTCTTTAGATATTAAACAACAAGGTAAATGTTCAAAAGCAAAATTAAATATCAAAAATCTCTAATGTTGTTTTAAAAATTTCAAACACGTTTAAAGTGTAAACCATCATTCGTCCTTGTGTTTCTATATTTGGATACATTTAAAACTCTATATGAAATTTTTTCAATTTCCATTTTATTAAGCAAACTATAAGAAGATTCTTAGTTATATTAATTAGCTAGAAAATGACCCACGCGTTGTGTGGGTTTAATACTATATATACTATAATGTTTTAGTTATTTTATATTATTTTCAAAGTTGATTTTATTTGGAATTTTAAATTTTAAATATATAAATAAAACGAATAACTGGATAATCTTCTAAAGTTATTTTGTTTTTGAAAATTTGTCTACAACAATTCTATATAAAAACATATGAATTCAGCCAGTAAAACCATGGTAACTAATTTGTAGTGGTGAGAACCAATGTGAATGTTAAAAACGATAAGTGGTGGCTATATTAACTGTTAAGTGGCGAAAATTTGAAAATAATTTCTATATGTAATATTATTGTGATTTGAAATACTCAAAAAAATTCTGATGGGTTGCACAATCTTTTTACTAAAGTGATTTCCAGAAAACCTTGGGGAGATAAAATACACATTCTTTGTTACAAAGTTTCTTTGATTGTATTATGTTGTATGTAACATTTCTTTATAGAGAACAAATCTCATATTTGTACTCATTCCTATCTATATACATTGGATTTTAACGTTAAATTTTGCACTTTAACTTGACCGTTTGAAAAAGCAAAATTTTCTCCACTTATAAATTTTGATGTACATTATGTTTCTAAATAGTACTTTTTAGTTTGATTGTCTTAAAGTGTATTAAAAATATCATTTAATTCATATTTATTTATAATAAATGAAAACAATTTTAAATACATAACAAAAAGGTTATGTATAATAAATGAATATTAACAATTATATATACAAAACAATGAAGATGTATTAAAATTTATCAAAGCAATAGTAAGTAACCAAACTTTTTAATTTATGGAGAAGTGTTTACGTTGTCATATATTTGTTTAGGAACATATCACATTTATCTCCATGAATCTGGCATGAACAATCTCTCCACGGTTTTCCAAACTCACCTCTCTCTCTTTCGTTCGATCTCACGAAGTTGAATCTGACCAGTTTGGATGTTTCCGTTAATCAACTTCGTGGGAAAGTGCCACAATTTAGGAACATAGTTGTAGACACAAAAGGGAATCCAAACATCGAGACCAACTGCATTCTTATTCCTTCGCCAACAAGGAACAAGAACAAATCAACTGTTGTGGTACTTCTCTTTGGCATTGTGGTTGGATTGGTGCTTACTGGAGGAGGAGCTTTTGGATTCTATCTGATTAGAAAAATGAAGAAATCTAATAGGCTTCTAGAACCAAATGAAACAATGACATATACTCGACAATCTGGAGACGAGGTCGTGGAAGCTGAGAGTTATGTGATTACACTTCAGCTTCTCAGCGATGCAAACATAAGAATTTTGCAAGAAAAACAAGGTTGGGAAAGTGGGTTTGGACCAGTTTATAGAGTATACCGAAGAATGGAGAAGTAGAGATTGTAGTATAGAAGATGAGGCAAACGATATGTGGAAAATGTCAGGATGAATTGAAATCCGAGGTATGCGTTTTAACAAAAGTTCATCACCGTAATCTATTATATATATCAAATAAAATCAAAAACCTATTTTGAACTTAAACATTTTTGTAATACCAAAATTAACAAAAGCATTGTTGGATTGAAAGTAAAATAAAAATATATAAATACTAACTTACAGTTATAATTTTTGAAACTATGAGGCTACTCTCAAGCGCCTCTACAAACAAATAAATACCATCTTATCTTAAATTATATATATTATATTTTAAAAAATATATTTACCAACTAAAGCTGAATAGTATTCACAAAATATAATTAAGAATCTTCAACAACAAAGGAATTGTTGGAGTTTTTTAATATATAATATTAATTCAACCTCTGAAATATAAACTTAAGTTGTTTGTATGAATTTATAGTGAGTACACATTGGTCAATATGTTATAATTATTGAAATCATTTAAATAATCAAAAGAAAATAAATTAATGAAAAGTATGCAAAAAATAAGCAAAAAATGAGGAAAACATAAGTAAAATATTTTTAAAAACTGACAAAAAAATTTTACCGATTTAAAGTTGAGATTCTAAACAAATAAAAACCAGAAAAATCCCCAAAAAACATTTATCTATATCTTATTTGGCCATTTAATACTCAAGTTTATTTGGTTGCGATAAAAATACCGAATTTACATATATTTGGTTGAAAATACTTCATTATTTAATTGTTGGTGGATTTTAACCAGCGATTTAAGGGCGTTATGGAATCATTAACCCCACATGTTTAATTAGATATATACAATATGTTTACATATCTTTCGGAATATATTGGTGTAATATGGTGATAAAACATAGAATTTTTACCTCCTAGACCTGGGTTCGATACCCAAATGACTTTTTTTATTAGTTGTATTATCCTGCTCATTGGCGTGGGATGTTTTAGCCTCTTATATGTTCTATCATATGGTTTGTCGAATGATTGTATGCTTTATTTTACTGTAAAAACTGCAAAACTAATAACACACTATGCGAAATCAGATTGTCAAGTTATGTTTCATATTTTGACCTACATGTATGAGTTATTCTGGCTATCCAATTATTATAAACCATAGCGACCTGATGTCGTTAGTAGGTTGTCTAGATAGCCAAGAAGATGGATTGGCCACAGCTTGTCCCTGGGACTCTTTCGTACATGGCCAATTTTTTCATAAGATCACGTTCACCATACCCATTGAGAACGTTAGGAAGTTTATCAATGACATCAAAACTCTGGTCAAGATCTAACCAACGACTTTATGCGGACTCAATTTCAACAATGGTGTCTTGATCTTGGGCGTCGAATTTGAGTGTGTGGAAATGCAATGAGTAAAAAAAAAATCATGTTACAAAAAAAAAATGTAAATATAATTGAAAAAGTAAGAAAAAAAAAGAAAAAAAAACATGTAAGTGATAGTTAAACATGTGGATAATTTTGTTTTACTCTAAATTGAAACATGTTTAAAATTGCACAAGATTAAAAAAAAAACAATTTATCTTAACAATTTAATGCTTTAAATATTTCAAACATGCATAAACACAATTGCATTAAACCAAATAATACGTTTAATATACGTTAAACAAAATTGCACTCTTGCATTATTGTATTACTTGCATTATAGTGGTGAGACAATCATTTAGTGAGACAGTATGTTACATGTTTCTCTAATCCTAATGCTATTCTTCCCCTAATCATTCTAAAAACTGAATAATTTTATTGTTATTATATAAATATTTGTACATGAATTATTTCAATTGTTTATATATATTATTATATAAAATATTTTATATTATTTAAATTTATTATAATTAAAATATTTGATCCGCATTATTTGATCCGCTTTCACCATTCAAACACATATTTTAGACCGCCAGATCTGCTTGATCCGCACTTGTTCCACCAGATCTACTTGATCCGCATATGTTCCGCTTGATCCGCTTGAACCGTTTGATCCGCTCCGCTTGATCCGCACTTGTTCCACCAGATCTGCTTGATCCGCATATGTTCCACTTGATCCGCTTGAACCGTTTGATCCGCTCCGCCTGATCCGCTTTCTCCATTCAGACCCATTATCTCCTTCCTAAACCAAGAATT